CTTTAGTACCCTGAGCAGAGTGCTGAATCAGATCTCTCTCCCTTTCCTGTAACGCTGACCCTCAGTGACTCCTGTTGGCCTGGTGAACTTTTCTACATGCTCTACTAGTGACCTTTGCTTTCATTTAGGAACAGCATATCACATATCACACCTATGTATACACGTGCCAGTGCTCCTCAATAAAAGGATGCTGACATCATAGTGGACTCATAAGGATTATTTCTGTGACGCTTTAGGGACACAATATTTAATTATACAGCTAAAGCAGAGCCTCAATTAGAGGGTCTCTCCGCTATGTTCGTTCTGGCTGTTACCACAGTGCACATGTGTGGGTAAAATAGTTGATGAAAGAGATAACAGGTCTTTAACCATGCAGGATGATATTTAATTTGGATCATATCAGTCTTATTTGTTCTAGCTGACAGTAGCGATCACACAACTGGTTCAACTTGACTATAAAGGCAGAACGAGACAGTGGTTATAGCATGGTGATTGTGCTTTGCTGAAGGTCGCCATTAATTCACATTTTCTGCCACCAGTGTTGGTTTTCCAATCAGCAGGTGACAGTGGTGGGTAGATTGCCTTTGATTTATAGCCCAGCCTGCCCCTCTTACTTGCTCCAATAAAGACCCCCGCACCCCCTACCCCACATACACACAAACACACACGCACACTACCACGGCCACCAAAACCACCCATCAGTCACATTAACCATCCCTTTCAACAGAATTTTACTCTACTACAAAAGCCAATCTTTAAAGGATCAGATCACTGAGTGAAAGAAAAAAGTTTTTATATTATTTTAAGAGAAAACTAACTCTCATTGCTAAAAGCTATAAAATGCAGTGTTTTTACCTTGAGGTAGGAAGTAATTTATTATAATTGTGAATAATTAAAACCTATTGACTTTGTGCCACAAGTGAAATTGCATTCATCTCCATTGTATCGGCCCATATACTGTTCATTTAATTGGGAAATGTGTCGTTTTGTAAATAGGGTATACTTTACTTCATTGTAAACCAAAATAGTGTCCCATTTCACTGATGTAATGTTTTTAATTATATATATTATATGCACCCAGTCTCACGGTGGAATGTTTGGTATGTATAATTTAATACATTAGCAACAGGGGTGGTAACAGTGTTTTTATGTTATATGTTCAGATAACAATGAAAATAGTAGATAACCGAAAATACCCGGGTGTATTTTTGCAGTACAAAAAATTACTTTTCAATCGTAATTGGAGCAAACAGATGCAAACTGTTATGTATTTTTGGCACCACTGTCAAAACGCCACCCCTACACCAAAAGGGCCGAATGGTTTCTCCCACCGTAGCAGCGTCGGTCCTGCGCAGCGTCTGACTGCAAATCAATGAAGCCAGTCAAACAAACGGGGCTGGGCAATCGAAGTTGGGACAATTTACGGAGGTTTCTGTTGCCGGATAGTCGACGACAATAGGGATATGTATACAACTAATATGTATAGAATCCTATGTTTGTGTCCTTTAGCGGAGTAAGGAGGATTTCCATGTCAAATAATTTTCTACTTATACGAGGAGTTTGATGTATTTCGCCAGACAATTGTAGCTTCACTGAGAAAAACTACTCTCCCTATTCGAACTGAGGATGATTTTTGCTAATACTGGAAACCCACTAAGGACTCCGTATCGCAAACAGGTAAATAGCAACGCTAATATGTATCAACCAGCCTTTAAGACGTAATGTACACAGAGCTGACTTCATGGAAGTCGCAACAACAACAAAAAAAAAAAAACCCTAACCCTTTGACAGCAGCTAGAATAAACTTAGACTCTCTAATAGAAATGAAACTAACTTTTGGTTCACTTGTGTCATTTTGAAATGGCAGTGTTGTGCTCCTGTGTGTGTGATGTCGGATTCAGATAGGCCACTTTTTTTTTTGCATAATGAGAATACCTGCTGCTCGGGCTGTGGTCCAGGTCCGATACTGCTGGGAAAGAGAGAGAGAGAGAGAGAGAGAGATACAGGCCTGTGACTCCAGTTGATGTAATGGCTATACTGACCACACAGAAGGGGAAAAATAATCTCCCTCCAATAGCAAGCATCACTTATGAGACATGGGAAGTGCACATGAGCTGGCAATGAGCACCACTTCACCGAAACTCAACCAAAACAGAAGTTTTTTTTTTAAAATGTCCACAGTGTTATATTCTCGTTTACTTCGGACCAGGTAAGGTTGTGGTTGCTTTCTGCTTTTATATATCAAACTCACTCTCAGTGATGTAAGCCATTGGTTTACCTTAAATACTTTAGAGTATTCTTTCCCATAAAATGTAATCCACACACCTTATTTGCTTGCCATATTAGGTTTCTCTCTTCTCTCTTTTGTACAGTAAGGATAACTAATTGTCCACTGATGCATTTACTTTGTCCCAGTTACATATAGATTTTTTTTTTAAACTCCCCTTTAGCCATAAGATTTAAATAAGCATATTTACTCTGTCGCGCTCATGCTGTTATCCTGTGGCTAGAGCTCCATTGGGCGAGGCCTGTTACTGGAAGCCCTGTGTATTTCCAGCTCGGATATGACAGACTCTGCTGGTCTGGAGCTGTCTGATAAGATGCCGTCCTCTCCCCATCACAGTCTCTTACAGTCCTGTGGCTGAGTATCAGGCAAATGTATGAAGACAAAATTCCCTTTCAGCCCCCCCAGAAAAGGTTAACTTTTTCTTTTAAAGACTGGCTTATCTTATTGTGCTTGGACATATGTTATAAACTATTACTGTAATGTATATAGTGCATGTCTCATTTATTAAGTAAAAGTCATTATTTGCCATGTTATTTAACCAATTCACAGCTCACACGGGCTTTTAATTCTTTGACGACAGCGGCTTTTAAATGTCAAACTTAAATACAAATGCAACATGGAGGGAGGGTTTTTTTTTTTTAGATCTAAAAGCTTTTATGTGAGTTCCCACATTTGGTTGTGTTTGTTTTTCTCCTGCTTTAAAGTTCAAGTTATTACTTCTTTTGTTCTAGTTGCTAACATTATAAAGATATTGGTAGGAAATGTACCTTTTTTTTTATCTTTGAAGCCTGAGAGACACACTTTCCATGTTAAAGGAGGTGCAGTACCTCAAGACTGAAATAGTATGATGATGACACACACAGCTCCCGCCACTATTACTTTGGCACAACAGCGAGGAAGTTTTTCCTATTTTGTGCCAAACTGGAGTTTTTTTCACTGAGGAAGCCATTCATGTTTCTTTGGTAATTACTGTTTAGTAAGATTTTGGCCCGACTGTAGTCTGATGTGATTCATGTTTCCTGGTAATAACCTCCCAAAAATCTGGGGACAGTAAGGGCTAGTCATAAGAGCAACTTTGTCGTATTTCACATTTGTTCAGTCTGTTGATGCAGACATCCACTGGAAAATATTTCTTGATTACTCTTATGTCACTTGAGTGAGGCCATACTCTTCCGTTTTTATAAAATTTCCCTGGGTAATACCTCACCTTTAATTTGTGGAACAGTTTTGTTCGCGCCATACACACTAAGCGTATATTAATCATTTTAACTTTGTGACACAGACCATGCTCAAAAAGAGAGCAGTTCACTGACAGAAGGTGGAGCATTTATTCCACCATTGAGTTGGAAAACAGTAGGTCAAACTGGTGTCAGGCAGTCGACCAGTCGGTCACAACAGAACATCCTCTAGGCTGGAGTCCAGACTTGGGTTGCTCAATCCGGTCACCACTTCATGCTTCGGATTCCATCAGCTTCCTCTCAGCTTGTGATTCCTCGTGAGGGGGGTCTGGGGGTGGGGGTAATCAGTGTGGGATAGTAGAGGAGAAGACAAATCCTTGGAGGGGACAGCTCTCTCAGACTAGGACATCTGTTTCTTGTAAACATAAAGTACAAAGTTGCTCAATCACTGAAGGATATTGACTCTCTCCCCCCTGCTTGCCCTCGGATTGACAGGCCTTACGCAGCCAGTATAAGCAATACTAGATAATTAACCTAAACTCAATACCACGTGAAAATCATAGTGCCAGTTGTTTGACTGTGTTTTATATAACCTGGAAGCAAAAATAGTAGTTTCTTAACAATTGTTTTTTCTTGCCTAATAGGAAAAAAGAGACACAGTCACTCAAACCATTCTGAACATATAAATACTTCTACTCATTATTAGAGTTGCTAAGGTTACTGGCGCTACAGCGGAGAGGATTGTTTATGCTGACCTGCGAAGAGCTTATTCGACACATTGAGCTTGTGTGGCATCATTGTGACACAGATGTCAGAGCTACAAGCCCCTGTGGACCTTGATTGTGCTGACGGCGAAGGTGTGATGGAGTTAGTTCTCCCGATATGGATCACTGCTCTGTAAAATATTAATCATTACACCGGACTTAAACCCACATGACACTAATGATGGAGTCCAGGCAATTGATCTTTTATCGTGACTATGTGCAGGCTTTTCTTGGACTAAATTCTCATTTCATTTTTACAAGTACAGATATTGGACATTCAGTGGACTAGATGATGATGTGCATGTGAAAGGGGTCATTTGTAGTGACTTAGATCTTCGCGTCAGCTCTACAGAACATTTCAGGATCTACAGGATAAACAATTTTATTTACCATCCAGCCTGAACTTGCATTCAACCTAATTTTTATGTAATTTCCCTTCTTATTGCAGCCACTTGTTGCCCCATCGACACACCCAATGGCTCCACCCAGCCCGAGCACTAACAGCACCAACAACAGCAGCAGCAGTAGCACTGCAGGCTGGGACCAGCTCAGCAAAACAAACCTCTACATCCGAGGCCTGTCCCCTTCGACCACAGACCATGACCTGGTCAAACTCTGTCAGCCGTGAGTACCACACTTCCTCTCATCATTATCTGCTATTGATCAGCCATTGATTTTTTGGCCTAGTTAGTTTTCGAATCTAGTTTAAATTTGCTCATTTATTGAAACAAGGTGTTAAAAAGTGAACAGTAATATATGAATAGGCCATTTTACCAATTACAATAGTATATAGTATAGTCTTTGTTGTAATCTATTGTTATAGTACATTCCTTTCTATTAAGCTGACTTTGAATGACAGCCCTACAGGTCTGTTTAAATATCTTCCAAAAAGGTATTTAATATTTAATCAGCTTTTTCTAACCAATAGAGTAGTTTTAAACCATGCAGAGAGCATGACGAGACACCTATGGATTCATATATATATATATATTTGAGATTATAACAAACCCGGCAGTATTGCAGGCTTCATTTGAATATGACATGAAAAATGTTCTTGAAGGCCACACAAGGGCAGAGCGTGGATGATGACAGCAACAGAGATGTCATATATCATGTATGTGGATAAAGGAGAGATACTGTCAGCACTGGGATCGTCCACAGCTCTCTTTGTGCGTGCTGATGCTTTATGTTTGCCAAGCAGAGAGACCACCCTGGTGCCTCATAGATTTAATTTGGTTTTTTTCTGGGGCCCCATCTTCACAATGTGGCACTGATTTTGCAACACAAAGCTGCCAATTCATTCTTTGGCTGTTTAGAAATATATTAGATATTGAAATTGGCCTCAGCAGTGTTAGATTAATAAAAAAAAACAAAACTAAAAGAAAAGTCAAAATGGGAGAACTTTAGATTGAAGAGTTTCCAAGCTCTCTCTTACGGCATTGCAACCTAAATGCAGCCCCTTTCCCCTGGTTTTAATGTACAGAAATACTTCACACTACAAATGCGACTAAAGTATAGTGCTGTTTTGTCACTTTCCTATGCAAAACTGTTGGCAAACTTTCTTTTTTCTTGTCCTCTCAAAATGCCTCACAGGGTCACACTGAATAACCCTGAAGCTTGTACATGTACAGTACAAGTAAATGTAGATTTTGATGATAGTGTAAGCGCAAACCTGCTGTAGCCAGAGTTCAGATGAAGAAGAGGTCATAAGTTCATGCTCTTTCACCCAGTTTAGCATTTAGCCTAATTCCTGGCTAAAATATCCTCTTAGTTGACTGCAGGGTACAGTGTGTGTATGCAATTGATTGATAAAGGTAAAATATGTGACAACGTCGTTATAATGAAGTAATGTGTTACAGTAGTGGTACTGCAATTTTTTGATTTTAAAGTTTTAAACATATTGTGCAGCCCTAATATAAATACCTATAAAAGCATTACATTTTTCTAAACATCAGCAACAAAAATACACAGTTGAGACTCAGATGGTCTTTTTTCTAATCTATTTTTCTCAGTACTGTGTTCTTAAAAAAAAGCAATTTGAAGAAATGACACTGTAGTTACATGGTACTCTTATGATGTTACCGTCAGCACTTCCTGTGCGCATACCATGATAGCTCTGTTGAAACCATGGCAACAACATGAACCAGACCAGACTTTTAAATGTCACAATCTCAATGTTTTGAGAGCATCTGTAAGTGGAAAAACAAGTTGTAATCTGTGACAACATTTTACTGTAATAAGTCAGAACTTTACTTTGAAAATCCCAACCGTCCAAGTGACCTGACTTCACTTAAGAGCAACTTTTTTGGCTTCTCTGTACAAAGTTTGGTTCAGTGGTTTAGTGTGGCTAAAGAAAAGGGACTGTATAGCTTTGCACTCACATGGTGGGGATTTTCAGAACCCCATGGAAACCACTTCCTGTTTCTCATATTTTCACAGTGATGTCATAGATTGTTGCTCAACCCTCTCTGTGTGTTTTATAACTGGCTCCGTCTGGTACATAATCCAGCTAACAATGCCTCGCCTTTGTGCTCCTCCTCTAGGTATGGCAAAATTGTATCAACAAAGGCCATCCTGGACAAGGCTACAAACAAATGTAAAGGTGTGTAAAGTTTTATTTTTTCTTTTCTTTCCAACACCGCCCTCATTTATCTTTCCTCTAATTAAGTATGTATCAATAAATCACATGAACTGCCCTGCAGGATTTTCAACACCTCACTGAAAGAGAGAATATCGCTTCTACGCTTTCTCTTAAATTGGTAGACATCCAGTGTGTGAATGCTATCAAAACATTAAGTCATTCAGCAGCTATGCAGTTGTCTCAGATGATCCGAGCAAGTCAGGAAACAGACAGCCAGGCTGCTCAAAGCTGCCTCCCAGCTCATGTTATTTTAAGCCTCAGCCCACTTGTCTGTTGGTGTGTCACTGCTGTGGGTGGTTCCTGGGAAGAAGTGGGTGACTCCTCCTCTTGCTGCTGAGTGACAGTGTTGCTCTTGGTCCAGTTCTAGTAGACTGCCTATCTGACTAAAGAGGGACTTACTGATTCTCTCTAGTGCTGATGGGATTAAGAGAATGCTTTGTCACTCTCCTCTGGATTATACAGATGCCAGTTAATCGAAGGCTCTCTGTGAAAGAAGACACAGTTAAAGACCTTGTAAAGCTCTGACTGGATTTCAAATAGACGGCAGTTATGGCTTTAGCAATAACCTTGAGAAACCTTGAGTTTTACAAAATACTTTAAAGTCATTATTTATTATTATTATTATTATTATTATTAAGATTCACATGAAACTTTAAGTACCAATGCTACCCATTTCTCAGCTGAAAGAGCCCTGACATATTTACCATAACTTATCTTGAATAAGTTAAATATAGCCACTGCGCCATAGGTTAGGGACTATAGGTGCACCCTGTTTGTACCCCGCAGGACAAAGAGCTGACCTGAGCCATGAATGTCACACTGGTATCTGCATCCTCAGCGCTTTTCTAACTCTGTAACTGTGCTGCTTGTCTCCTCAGGATATGGCTTTGTGGACTTTGACAGCCCCGCTGCAGCTCAGAAAGCTGTGGCTGCCCTAAAGACCACTGGTGTCCAGGCTCAGATGGCAAAGGTGAGGATTCATTACAGTCTGATGCTGATATCACATCCATACAACTCACCCAGTAACTCAGTCTCTCCTCCATCTGGCTGTTCGGGCAACTCAAACCTAATCTTTGTGGTATTAAATAGCAGGACTTAAATCCTTGGCTGCAGGGTGTATGCTACCCAAACCCTTGGTCTATAGACTGTTCAGTGACATTGCATCCATTTTCAGGAGCAAATGTGACACCAGGTTTTTGCAGTTTACAAGTCTCTGTTTGCGTGTCAGTAGTGTAAGTGTTTGTAATGTGCAGCTCGGTCCTTATTGTACATGCGTTTAATTGGGATGCACAAATGAGAGGTGTAGATATGTTAACAAAGGCTAATTATATTCTCCTGGAATTACTGCAGACACACAATGTGCAATAATTGTAAATTAACACATTATCGGGTTATTGTGTAACAGCAGACAAACAGTGGATGGGCTGTTGTGGTTTGTGTTAATTAAACTTGAATTTGATTCTGAGTTCTAACGAACTGTATATTATATTAATTACTTGACAAGACATTCACAATTAGCATGTGACTGCATTTAATTGTAGTATTCTAGTGACATTTGCTCAACATGTCCAACATCAACGTTTTTCTCTCCCTTTCTTGTCTCATTCTCTAGTTCCTTCAATTTTACTTTGCTTTTCATGTTACATAAAGTTTGACTCCTGCTGCATTAATAGAATCATTTATATAGTGTTAATATTGTGCACATGTGTTGCACCACTTTCTTTGTAAAGTTGTCACTCAGTGATTAAATCTAATTGCTAATCTGCTGATGTGTTCATATATGGTGTGTTAACCTACAAGTTTATATATATCATGGATGGTTCCCAACGGTATGCTGTCAGCTGAAAGCTCCCAGCCAATAGTTTGACTACAGGCTGTAGAGATGACAGGATGACACGTCTCAAAAGCACCATTACACACACATTTAATATCTCCCTGCAAGATTATTGTACTTAAAAATGAACATGCAGCAAATGAGGCTTCATGCTGCAAATGTGTTTAAAATACTGGGAAACAAGTGCAAGAAATACAAAAACGACAAATGTATCTTCTTCACTAGACAAGTTGGAGTTATAGCTCATTGTCAAGTTAAAGAAATTGTTGGAACTGTTCCTATAATGGTGCCCAGTTTTGTGTCGACAGACAGTTATTCAAGGCTTTAATATACTACAAATCTAGCTTCTTCACAATGTAATACAGGAGATTGTCAGATGAAGGGCTTTAAAGTAGGACTGTATAACTTCAGGCATCTGCTCTCACTGACATTAGAGAAGGAAGTAAATAATTGTGTGTTGTTATGGTAACAGGAACCAGTCGGGGGAAATTAGTTCCCATACAGCACTGAGCTAGAACCCTTGGCCTCATTTTCCTGTCTGAGGATCTGTAGAGCTTCTTGACATGCCTCTGTGCACCCATTTTACTTTTTTAATTAAAATAGAGCAGCTTCGAGGGGCATGCCGAAGTTTAATCTTTGTATTGTGAAAAGTAAATGCCATTATAAAGTGTGAGCCTTTCACTCCAGCTTGATTCTCACTATTGCTGAAGCTTGTTTGGGCTTAATGGACTCTCTGACAAAGGTCCCTTTTCCTGTTTTTTTATCTGCCCAGGCACCCTTCAATGGGCTTTCTCTCATTATTATTTCAATGGCAGGTGGTGGGAAGTAGCCAGATAAGAGTTTCCCTTCTTTTTACCTTATGTTATTTCAATGAATGTCTTATGATACTTATGTGCTTCACTTGATCTGTATACATGCAAGGGATTTACCTTATGCACATTTGTATAAGATTTATAGAGGAACATTGTTTTATAATGTTTCTTGTGACCGGAAAGTCGCAATCCAATCCCTGGATCAGCAGGCTAAATCTGGGTGGGTGAAGTGAAAGAGCAGCACATGCCCATCCCTCATTACCACCACTGTAGTGCCCTTGTGGAAAACTTTTTTAAGTTGGGTTGTGTAAGGTATTTATCCATAGTCTCTGTATTATCCACAATAGATGGCAGTTGGCATGCCCCCAGTTTGGAGAAGCAGACAGGAGTACCAGCAAGTAAGCCAAACAATGCACTGCCGTGGACAGGAGCAGTAACAAAATGTATTTTAGCCACCTAAAAAAGGTTCACCTAAAAAAAATCTATATCAGTTGAGCCTATATTTAGAATATTTTCAACGATAGAAAACCGAAACTGAAACTCGAACTAACCGTTTAACGGCTCTAATTGAGCTATACATAGAAAAGACAAAAAGACAACAGCAGTAGATCACATCATTTTTACAGCATCTCCCTGTGTCTGTAGAGAAGCAAAAAGTAACACCCCTCCATCAGCCACACCTCTTTTCATGAGCGTGCGTCAGTCACACTTAATGACTGACTGATGGGTGGTGACCCATTCAAAACACAGGCTGTTGTCTTATCTCATATTTCTGTCCCTGCATTTGTCTGAGCTTTTCCACGCTTACCATTGGTTTTCTTACATTTAGATTTCTCTTAAGTGACGAAAGAGTTTATAGATATGAATTCGTCTGAAATAGAAATCAAGTGCCATTAAAGATCATGTTAGAAAAATGTCACAATTTTGCAGCAAAGTGTATAACAACAAAAGAAATCAGATTCCTGTTCTGTGTTCACCTTCCCTATCCCTGCTGCTGTGCAGGCTTTGACTCATTCATTGTCTTCGAATTCTGAAATGTTGATTTTCCTGTCAGTGTATTACTTTTAGTAATCCAACCTCTCCCTTTAGCTGACTCTGAACAGCACAACACTGATGAATATTAATGGTGAGAGGCCGCTCCCCTGGGACTCGTAGCCGTGTCTTATGTTTCTGCTGATGCTATTAAAATATGGCAAGAAATCAGCTGCCTTAAGCCAGCGTGGGCTGCATGCAAATCTCTATTTATCACTGCTCATAGTGACCCTTTACTACCTAAAACCCCCAACAGAGAAAGACAGGAAGAAGCAGACATAAGCAGACACATGATAACCCCATTGCTGGGGTCCATATTAGAAGTCTATTAAATGTTTAGCAATTTGCAGGGGTAAATTATATGGAATAGCAAGGAAACTGATCCCTCCTTCCTCTCTTCCTCCTTCTAATTTACATGTTACTAAAGCCAGTGTGAATGTGATACTACAAAGGAATGTTTTTGTGTTTTCCAGGTGTGTTTCAACCATTTACCATTTTCTATAGTGTACTTATATTACCTCTGGCTTCCTCTCTCTCTTTTTTCCACCATACAGCAACAGGAACAAGACCCAACAAACCTGTACATCTCCAACCTGCCTTTGTCTATGGATGAGCAGGAACTGGAGAACATGTTAAAGCACTTCGGCCAGGTCATATCCACACGCATCCTGAGGGACTCCAGTGGTGGCAGCAGAGGAGTGGGCTTTGCGAGGTCAGATCCTTGTGTCATTTATTGTTAATGACTCATGGTCCTGAAACAACATTCATGGACCGTTTTTTACTGGTGCTACATATAGCATTTTAACATCAATAAAAAGGTTAAATATGGCATATTGGTATGATTAAACTAAATACATAATTAAATAACTCAGATGATGCTTCAAGGTCAAAACAGACCGTTGTGCAGCCGTAATAAGGACAGGAATAGACTACTGTTTGACCAGTAACATGGAAGTGATGTCAGTAAAGGGGGAAATCTGTAGGAAATGTGGTATTTATATTGAGATACAAAAGCGCTAACAAGGATTGAGAAAAAAATGCTACATGTAATAGCTTTCTAATAGTTGAAACACAGACTGAGTTTTTGCTGATTCATCATCCTAAAATTCGTTTCGCAGTTCGAAGCAGAATGTGTTTCATTTCTCAAATGAATACCTAAAAGCACATAGCTATGTTGTCAATAACAGGGCAGAAAGAACAGCTCATGTATGGACAAATGGAAACTCCTTTAAAAAATACTTTCACAATGACTAGGTGATTTAATTATAGTGGTCATGCTGGCTTCCGTCAGTTGTACTTGCATAACCTGATGATTAACTGAAATACCTGATAGGTAAGGCCAAGATCACGATTGACAAAGCCAAAATATCATACTGAATCATAAGAATGTTTTTAAGTGTGGGTGTGTACTAGAAGGTCCATATGGCTCAAATGGTGAAGACTACAGTAAACAAGCTGATTTCACAACATATGTGCACATTGGGCTTGCAATCTTTTATGTATATAATGAACCACCCCTTCCACCCACCCAGAAAGGAAGCAGTTCTTGGAAAGTACCTTCTTACCCTTATTACTGCAGTTATCACTGATGTAGTTATGCTTGTGTGTCTTTTTTATAACTTTAGGATGGAGTCAACTGAAAAATGTGATGCAGTCATTTCTCACTTCAACGGAAAGTTTATTAAGACACCTGCAGGTGTTCCAGGTAAGACATACAGATAATTATCTTATATTCACAGGCACATACAAAAGTTTCTATTACATAAGCAACCACACTGTGAAATATATTTAACTAACTAACTGGTCTTTTATACAAAAGTTTTTCTTTTCTCTCTCTTTTTTTTATATTTGCATATATATATTTATTTTGAATACTGCCTCACCCTTAATTCCTGCTGTGCGGTTTGTGCCATTGCAGCGAAATTTCATTTTGATGCAAATCCAAATGACAAATAAAGTCTGTCTAAGTCTAAGTCACACTGCAGAAACTTAATGTAAAATAATCTAACTTAACCGCCGTGCCATGAACAGAATAATGTAAAAGAAAATGACAGGATTCGTCTTGTAACAAGTATAATGTGTACAATGTTAATGGACAGTGTTGAAAAGGTACGATGAAGTGGTCACCCTACTGCTTCACGCTTCCAACAGGAGTCAGCGAGTCTGCTGGTAAAGAGCTCATATACACTCAGCCCTAAGTGGCAGAGTGCAGACAAAGAAAATGAGAGAGAGAGAGCTGCTCTGTGTGGCCTCCACTCCCTCTTTAAGCTTTTTAATTGGATTATTAGACTGAAATAGTCTCTGCCGGCCTTGCCTCCTTTAGGAAGGGGAGGGGATTACAGCTCCACAGCTGCCAAATTAGACGTCTGTGTTCCCAGGCTGGCTAGTAAATGTGCACTCCCAGGCGTCAGGGACTGAATGACTGTATAGCAAGCAATGGTAGACAACACTGTGTGTGTGTGTTTTTTTTTAAACAAACTTATTTTATTCTCTCGCCACCTCTCTCACTTTAGCACCACCTGAACCCTTGCTGTGCAAGTTTGCTGATGGTGGACAGAAAAAGAGACAAAGTCTGAATAAATTTGCCCAGAATGGTCGGGGTTGGGGAAGGGACGGTGACTCCAGACTGGTAAGTGATGCCCAGGGTGGTGTGAGTGGTCTTAGTGGCTAATGGAATCCAATTCATGACCAGATAGGAATAATAAAGCACAAATTCCAGGTGCTGTATGATAAACAACAGAGCGTGTAACAAATATTACAAGCAGAGGCACTATAAAGTGACTTTCTTGTTGTTTAGTATTGTTGAAGAATCAACTAAAGGAATAAATTATATGTATCATATGTGTAGATCTCTCGTGCTTCTGACGTTTATTGTTATAATCCTGGTTATGTTGTGTTGTTTATTGTAAAGTTGCGTGTAGTCAAGGGCACCCTCATTCAGGTTTGACCACAATAGATACACAAAAGAGTTTTTGTATGATGATGTTGTGTTGCTTGCTTTGGTTTAGTTGCCAAACCTGTGCCTTGTTTTGCTCTCAGGCTGGAATGACACTCACATATGACCCCAGTGCAGCTGCTATGCAAAATGGGTAAGCTACAACAACATATTAGATTACACTGCCATAGTCAATATGTTTCATTGCAGCTAACTAACTTGTTTTTTATAAATACACTTTCCACAGATTTTTCCAAACAGCATACAGTATTTCAAACAGGATGATAGCTCAAACGTCCATGTCTCCTTACATGTCTCCAGTTTCAACATACCAGGTTTGAATCCTTCTCTTCAATTATGAATACGTAGCTTTGACTTAATCTATCTCTCAGTATTTGTGTTTACAAATCATCAGAATTCAGAAACCTGTCCTTAGGGGTTTTAGATGTGTAGGTTAAATATGTGACAGAGAGCATTGTGGCCATTCATGTGGCCATTCATTCGTTGCTGTGCCAACCACAGAAGCATGTGATCTCTGGAAGTAGCAGCTGTTTGGTGTCACTGTGTTTACAGAGTGTGTTTGTGTGATGTTCTAGGTGCAGAACCCATCCTGGGTGCCTCATCAACCCTACATCATGCAGCACCCAGTAAGAACATCTTCATCACTCTTTTCTCCTTTTTGTGGTTCTAACAGAATTGAAACATTTTTGTGTAAACAGACAGACACAATATGGGAGAGTAGTGGTTACACATAAGGTGACACTGATCTTTAAGGATTTACGGTACTAAAGTGTTTGTATAGGAATGTAAAAACAACTGCTTTGGAGAGGCTATGTAAAGCTGTGTATTTGATGACAGATGCCGAATATTTTATAACAGATGGGTTTGAATTGAGAGCGAAGAGTCCTTTCTTGTTTTGAAAATGAGCCAGTAAAGATGAGAAATCACTGCTAGATGCATCAGGCCAGCCAAGATGCGTATAGACAACTTGCCTAACTTGTGGCTATTCACCTTCTGCTATGGGCATTAGATGTGACGTTTAAGGTTACACAGGTTCTCTTTTGCCAAAATTAAAACTACAAAACCCATTATGCAGTTACATAATTCTATTGTCTTTTTTGAGGCGTATTTACCTTCATCTGCCCACACTTTTCTTCCAGGGTACAGTGATATCGCCCTCTATGGACCCATCTATGTCACTACAGCCCACTTCTATGATGGCCCCACTTACACAGCAGATGGGTCACCTCTCGCTGGGCAGTGCAGGAACGGTAAGAGAACTCCGCATGGGATCAGAAATGAGTTCACACGTTATGCTTACTCGAGAATGAGGTGTTAAAAAGTGCATCATTAAACTGTGTAATGTATAGATAATGAGCATGTTCTCTAAATGACTATTCCCCTGTCCTTCATTGTGCAGTTTATGGCAAACACAGCTATGCAAGGAGCATATATCCCACAATATGCACACATGCAGACATCAACTGTTCCTGTAGAGGTATGTGTGTTAACACCATAGCAGCCTGATGTGTGTAAAACATTGTCTTCATTTTAAACAACGTCTCACTGTTGGCAAAACAGCAGTGGCAAAGACTTATTTCACTCTCTCTTCCAGGAAAATGGTGCACAGTCACAAGTGGACTCATCCGGCAATCATTCCCCGTATTCCTACCAACAAACCAAGTAGCGCTGAGGTAACATTTGGACAACAGCTAAAACAATCCTGTCTACAAATGCAATGGATGCTAAGGATCTTTTCACTGTTTTGCACAGGTTCTGCAAATGTTTAAGTGAGACTATTTTTGGTATCATTTTCCGAGAGAATATCTGAGTTCATCAAATGATTCAAATTATATTTAAAAGAAAGTTTTGAAAAAGTTTTATTTTCATACTAGAAAAACGTTTATTTTTTACCAAGGATTGCTACAGGATACAAGAAAGAATCATGTGACTAGTTGTTCAAAGTGCATGATAGTAAGTGTCTGTTAATATTTCCAGATTTCTTTTTTCTTTTCTTTTTCTGAAGATTTTTTTCAGCCAGACTTTTTGCAAATGATGTTTTTGTGCTTGCTGTGTGAGTGTTGCTATGGTGAAGTGTTAAGTGTTGTTTTCTTGTAAAGTAATTTAGTACTTTAGATTGATCTTGCTGTCTGATTAAAAATTTGGCCTTCATAGTTTTGATACAGTAGTTGTACAGACCACCACACTATGAGAAAACTCATAGAAAAGTAGAAGAAATCTTAGAGAAAATGTTTTGAATGAACTGATTCCTTCTGATGATTTTATTGGATGTAATATTTATTTAGTAAGAAGACCTTACATGTTTTTGGATGTTGGAATGTGTTAGAAATTTTGCTGAAAGGTCACCTATTGAATCTTGCCTTTTTGATTACTTGGTATTGTAGAATAGCCGAAATTGAAATTGGTCGGGTGGGGGAATAAGAAGGGGCTAAATGCATTTTGTTTGTTGATCGTGTTTTTGTCTTTTTGGGTGATGTTAATTGTTATTTTGATGGGGTGTGTCTTTTTCACTTTTATTTGAAAAACTAACAGGAAAACATAGACTTATGATTGTGCAAAAAAAACAAAAAAAAACGCATCGAAGCCTTGTAATAGAACTTAGGCAAAAGTTCAGTGAGTTGGGGGGTAAAACAAGATGAATATGTATACTTTATTGCACCTCGCTCTTTGATAGGAAACAAACAAACTTGGCACTTTCAGTTGTAGTTTACTTCACCAAAGATTGTGAGCTAGTACACTGAGGAAATAGCATCATTTGACTCTTTAACCAGGAGATAAGTGACTCTGCAAACTAAATTGCAGTTTGGACAGTGTGCCTTTTTTGTATATCATATGCAGTCGTAGGTATTAGTACAACGCGGACATACACACAAGCATGAAGGAAGGCCTGGGTCCAACAAGTGCCACAGATGAATTTCATACTTGCGACATTATAGTAAAGATGAGTTAACTATGAAAGGACAGTGCTACACTAGCAATCTCATAAGACATAGCACTAAAAAAAAATGTGTCTGATTATTTTTATTATCATAGTGGATTTAAGCAGGCTTTTTGATTCTGGTGTCCTCCAACAAGATTCGACCTGGTGGTCAGCCAGACCAGTTATCTACCTCAGAGTTTTCTTTCTCCTCTGTACTAGGTCGGGTTAGCAGGTCCAGCCCGCCCTTCCAGACCAAATGCCACGCTCAGGAGCTGGCCACATACAGCTGTTTCCTTATAGGTTGTTTTGAATACTTTTTGATTTTCTTCAAACCTTTTTTTTTTTTTTTTTTTTTTTAAATTATGTATTGTTGTAATCATCACAGGGGGCGCGACAACACGTTTCTACTGATGTTCACACATTCAGTTTCATACTTTTTAGAAGAGCTGCTGCTTTTATGGCAATAGATTTCGGAGGCTGATCTAACATGTTCAAGACCAACGATGACAACAAAGCTTGTGTTGTGTTCACTGGATCTGTCCTTTAAACTAACATGTTTGTTGCTTTGTCTTGGGTCTAGATAAAGTCACAGCAGCATTTCCTCTGTAGTTAGCTAGGGTGTGCAACACATGGGCCACCACGATTATACTTGAGATTTCTGTGTAATGCCTGAGACTGAGAAGTAATACTGTCTTGTGAGGTTTATGCTGCTAGTGGTGTCTGAACCGAGTGCCATAGTATCTGGTCAAGAGTTGCAGAGGTGCATCAAAAATAAATTTAAAACAACCACCATGTTGAACAGTCATTAAGTTATATGAAAATGTTCTAATTTATGAAGATTTTTGTACAGACAGCTTGAGGAAGTAAGAGATTTTCATAGAGCTATATGAAAGTTTATTGTTTTTATTTTTTTTACTCGTGCCACACAATTGCCAGTGGTAACTTGTATGTACAGTTTAAGGAATCTTCTTCTTGTTTTCTTGTTTTGTAGTGTTTGTTAAAGCCAAAGACTTTTTTTTTCCAGTAGATTGTTGCCGAAAGTTTATTCTTTTCATTTCTTTGACATTTTTGAATAAAAATTTTCAACTTTTAAGTTGTTTAAGTCTGGTCTTTATTAACGAGAAGAGTCAGAGTTCTTCATCTTATATAGCTGGTTGCTTACCTTGCACTGGTTAATGATGAAATGATGTAAATACATCATTTGTGTAGTCTGCCAGTTTTAAAGTGGTTGAAAAATAAATGATATTGGTTGGCTAGCTGCAGCTTTAAAGGGCTGAAATCCAAGCACAGTCTCTCACTTTGTCTCTCACATTCAGTTTATGTTTAATGAGGAATCTGGCCTTATCAGTAGTTGGAAAATATGCGTGCATTCACAAATGACCTTAAAGAATGAAAATAATGTCTTGTTTGATTTATATTTACAAAACATGAAGATTGGCAAAGACAAAAGACAAAATTTATGGATAAATGTACACAACACATCCAAGGTTACTCTGTTCTGGCATTCTGTGTTTTTTTCCACTTGATTTGAGATTAAAGACACTGAAGCATTTTTCCCCCAGACTGAGGTCCAAAATGGAAAAAGAAAAGGGTTGGGGTTAACATCTGTTTAGCTCCCCCATCAAAGCAGCAGCTGACAAAGGTCACTTGGCTGTCAGTTTCTCCCAGAGAGCAGATGCCGGTGCCCACCTTACACATACATACAAACCAGTCTTCAAGATATTCGCTGAGTGAATTAATTAATAAGACATTATTATCTCTTAAAGCTGGCTGGAATATATTTTTCTATGAACTGAAAAGTCACCATGAATCAAAAGTTATGCTTTCCTCTAAAATGTGGTGTCTCTTTATTGTACATCACAAAATCATAAAATATATGAAAAGATATTCAGCATACAGCTAACCTATCCTATATTCAATAGCTATTAGACAGTTAATTTAAGCCATCAATTATAAGCACTGAACTTTAAGTCCACCTTGTCTCACTACTAATAAAGGAAACATATTCTGCAACCGTATTCCTCTAAACATCAAGTTAATGTGTCTGCACTGTAACTCTGCTAAATCAGTCTACCAGTATTTATGAATCGCTATGCTTTCAACCCATAGGGTGAGGACCTGGTAAGGACTATATCAACACTGTCACATGGTATTGTTGACAACATGCATGGCCTGGACAGGGTGAGTTACGGGTATCAGGAGGTATGGTGGGTGGATGGGGGCGTCTGCGAGCAGGCCTTGCCATGGCAGATGGGTCCCCACGATATCCTGCAGGGTGTTGTGCCACCCTACGGGAAGCCACCAGCTCCAGACGAGGAGCAAAACTCACGCTCCAGCTGTCTGTGTTTGTGCCACCTGCGCCTACAAGCAGTGGAGTTGAAACCCCCCTCTCATTCCCCCCTGAACAACGACCATCCTGCCCTTGAGGTTCTCTGCTGTCTCCTTCCTCACCTGCTCAGGTAGGAAGCATCCTGTATCCCTACTCATTTAAATGTCTGTAGTGTGTAAGCAAAAAAAAAAATACAATATTTCCCTTTTAAAATGTAGTGGGTTATAAGTATAAAGCAGCATTCAATGAAAATACTCAAGTAAAGTACAAGCACCTCAAAGTACAGTACATGAGTAAATGCACTTGCTTCTTATAAAAAATTAAGTATAAATTACACCAGTAAACTGGGTTATACATGCCAGTTAAAAAAAAATTTTCCGGCATTTAAAGTGAGCAAATAAGGAGCCTCACACCTATCACTATGATGAGTATGAGATGGACATTTAAAAATAGATCTAAATAACATTCAGAAGTAGAATCTGGTAAACAATATCAACATAATCCAAAAACTGCTTTTTCCTGTACACTGATGCCCTAAAAGGTAAAAAAAAAAAAACATATTGAGTTTGCTTATTCAGGCAGCATTGTTGTCTTATTTATTGGACCAGACTGACTAGATAATGACAGACTAGTGACAGACAGGGGGTGGACACAACAATGCAATGTAATGCAACCCATTGCACTAGCCCAGTAATAAACATTTCTGATCTTACAGTCTTCAGTTTTAGTTGAGGCGATTGTAGAGAGCTGTTGATTTACTTTTTGATGCCATAATTTGACATCAAATTTAAATATTATAGTAATACTGTACATTTAGGGGGACAAAAGACAATTATTTTAATTAGCAGTTAATTTAATTAAGTAAAAGTACTAATTCTATACTGCAAAATTATTACAAGTGACAGTCCTGCATTGAAAATGTTACCTAAAGTTCCCATGAAGTCGACATGTTTTTATCAGATCACGAATCTAGGGTTATATGTCACCTATATGCCTTTACCAAACAATAGCAAAAATGTCCTTCTGTAGGAAAATTTGGGTATTTTTAGAGTTTGTCATTTCCTGGAAAACAACAAAAAATGTTGATGACTCATTCTAAAACTATCTATGTAACAAAAGGAAATTTGTTCTTAAAATATCAAACGTAAACGTACTCAAGAAAAATGGCCCTGTGAGTGATATATTATTAGATCACTTATACTGAAAAATGCTCATCACATTTACCCAAAGAGCCCAAAGTGACACCTACAAATTGTTTATTTTCCCTGCAATTCTGTAATTCATCAGAAGGAAAACCAGCAAATTCTGGAATCAAAACATTTTTGCATAAGAAATGACATAACTGAATAATCAGTCATCAAAACAGTTTTATGTATTTGTTGATCAACTCATCGATCAATCAACTAATTATTTTATATACGGTTAAGTAGTTTATTAATATGTCATATTCAATAAATATAGTGGATTAAAAAATACAATATTTCCCTTTTA